AGCATGGTCATGTGACATCATGCTTTACAACTGCATTGCTTAGTGATGGAAATTCTGATCCCAATTACTGTTAAGTGAGGACTATCTGTAATGTGGGTGAATGGAGAAGTGGTATAAAAATTATTCTGATAAAGTAACAAATAGATGTGCAAATAGATACAGATTGAAGTTTCCTCTTTTCACTACTCCCAGCTTCAGAATGCCCTATTGTAGCAGTTGGGTCTCTTCATTTCAGTTATGGAGAAGACCTGCAGAACAAACAAAGCTTTCATCCTATTGAGCAAATAAGAGTTTGCTATTCAACATAAGCTGCAATCAATTATTTCGTTTTTGTCCAGATTAATTCTGTTTTTCACTACATGTGCTTTTGAAGGCTCTAGTCTGACCTCATTTGGAGTACAGTGTCCAGTTTGGGGCATCATAGTTTAGAAAAGACAGTGACAAATTAGAGCAAGTTCAGAAGAGAGTTACCAAAATAGGAAGGGTCTGGAGACAAAAAGGATCCGGATATGTTTAGCTTACAAGGTCAGGCTAGACATCAGGAGGAACGTTCTGGCTGTATGAGATGTCAGCCAACAGAACAGGCTGCCACATGGAGTGGTAAATTCTCCTTTGCTAGAAATCTTCAAAGGCTTGATTGTCATCAGTCAGAGATGCTCTAGGGAATCCTGCACTGAGAGGGGGCACAATTAAATGATCTCTAAGGTAGCTTCCAACTCTATAATTTTATGATTCCTGTAAATTTTTCCACTCATCATTCATATAGTAAAATGAATAGATTGCATTTATTTTGTATTAAAAATAACTGATACAAATATTCAATGAATACTATAATTACAATAATTTAATATATGTGTTTATGCAATTACTGTGCAAACACTAATAAGCAGGGTATGGGTGACTGACACAGTGAAGTGTTTTAAAAGTTTTCTTGACTTTTGGAGGGTTTTTCCTTAGTTATTGTATGAAATATTCTCCTTTCCTTGTATCTAATAGTCTTAGCAGGTGATAACAACTTAGCTGACCATGGTTGTTATCAAAATAGCTAAGCAGAGTCATACCAGATTAATACTTGGATTGGAATCCACCAGAAATCCTAGGCTGTAGGTTAGACTGAGAAGAAGCAACAAAACTGGAAAGTTCGGAAAGGCACCAATGGAAAAACACTTCCATATTGTTGCTAAGGAAACAACACAAAAGTGTCCATGTAGTCCCAGGAGCAAGGTGCAACTTGAAGGAGACATTGACTTGTGTGTCCAATAACTAGAATCAATACTGTTCTTCCTTTACTCCTGGAGTAAGAAATCTGTTATTCTCCAAATGTGGCTGAACTATTGTCCCCAGCATCTTGCACCATTTGGCCACAATGATCGGAGTTGCTGGGAATTGTAATAGTTCAGCAACATCTGGAAGTTCACAAATACCTCACCTCTGCTAAAATAGGATTTTGACATTTTTTTTCCCGCACAACAGAGCATGCCACCATAATTATTTAGAAAAATAATGCCAACACACAAAATATGACATTTCTTCAGTCTTGAAATCCAACTATATTCAGTGCAGTTTATATATACATATGCAAATTCGATATCTTTTCAGAGTCATCATCCACTAATATTAACTTGAATGTAGACTGCAACTACACATCTTCAACAATTGCTACTCAGTCAGGTGTCTAAATTCTTTAAAATGAATTCTGAATCCATGAAATATTGTTAAGCCTGCACTATTAGTGAAAAGATAAATTATCTGGATTACTGAGAAGACTAATTTGACATACTGTTAAATATATAGTTCATCTCTACACATTAGAACTCAAAGATCCAAACATTCAAAGTTCTTTTTTAGTTATATAAACAGGGGCTTGGGCTAAAAACAGGGCTTTCTTCAGGGCTGCTGAAGGATCATATATGTCAACTGAGAAGGAGCTCAAATGTGAGCAAAGAAAGTCACTACCTTGATGAAAAAGACATTGGATTTTCCCATACTAAGCCATAATGTTGGTTTGAGTTTGGCTGTATGTGTATTTTGATTTCTAAACCAAGCCAGTGTAGCTTGTCTAACAAACAGTGGCTTAGTATGATAACCCTAACCTTATAAACTGGCTTATTTTGTGTTTTATTACATAAAAATTGCGATCTCTATATCTATGTGTCAATGTTGTGCTAATAAGAATGTGCAGAACTGTCTGTTCAATCTAATTTAATTAAAATGGTCAATTCAATTCACATTGCTATTTGAATAGTCAGATTGATTCATTGATGTGCAGGTGCATGCACATACGTCTATTGAAACCAATTGATTCAGAGGCTCTCAGTTCAGTTCATTGAACTGATTAAATTGAGTGGCCTTTGATTCAAATCTGCAGCAGAGCCATAGTATAAATGTTATTTTTCTTAAGAATATCCAGAACCATGTCATAAACAATTTGACACAATCCATTTGGCTCAGTGTCATTTGGACATCTTTTTGTAGAGGGGGCTTTATGGCTGGAAATTTAGATAAATAAAATCAGAAAGCCAAGGGAAATTTTAAAGAATGCCACTCCTGTATGTTCACTAGGATGTCTTTTACCTCTTGCTCTCTGAAGGCAACACCAATATTGATCTTTTGTGCTTGGTGAAACTGAAGGCGGCAGGCAAGCAGATGCTGATCAAGAGCAGGCAGAACAGAACATATGGCTTCAATAGATCATTGCTACTGCAACAGAGGTAATCATCAGTCATGCTAAATATAGAAATATTCCTTATACACAGGATTCAGCATTCTCAGAGATGATGCCTTGTCTCTCTGGAGGTTTTTAAAAGTGATATTGGGGCAGAGGGCTTGTAGGTAATGCAAGATCCCTTTACTTTTCACATGTGCACAAAAAGAAGATAATTCTATCTGCTTATATGTGCTGGAAGTGCAAAAACATTTATAGTAATTTATGAAGGTTTGAACAGCTGGAACTAAAACAGGAATGATAATTTTGCTCCTCTTCTCAAAAATGGTGTGCAATCAACTCAGCTATTACCAGAACAAGGGCTATATTGCAGAAGTCCCCAGTTCACTGTCTCCCCTCATCTTCTGCCAACCCAAACCACCTCACTCAGGAAAGGGTCTCGCTATCTAGAAAACACTGATGCACCTGAAATTCCCACTTCCTCTTTAACTGACTATAGCCCAGGCTAAGTGCCTCTTTCCCAGCTGTCCCTGCAAGTAAGTGGGGGACCAACATTAAAGGGAACATTACTATGCCAGAATAGTGGATGCATCCAATTTGGATGACCCAACGCTGCCATTTCATCCCCACGCCCGTTTTTAATATAACATCCTAGTACACCATTGGAAGTTAGAGAACGTTGACAAAAGGGAAATAGAAGTCCCTTCCCATTTCCTCTTTTACACTTAGCATATCTTCCACAGCTTTCCCACATGTTCAAGGAGCTGGAACATACTGAAAGTGGGAAGGTTACAAAAGCAGGATGTGGTTGCTACATCACTGCAGCTCTAATTGGGAACCACCTGGGTGCAGTTATTATTGCCCCATCATACTTCAACTTACTTTTTCCTCCATAATTAATATTCAGAGTGCAAGAGCTGGAAATGAACACGGCCCAGCACAACCCCAAATTTCCCATTATTAATATTTGTATCACACCTTTCCTCCTCCTCCTCCTCCAAAGAGTTCAGGATGCTGTAAAAAGTCCTTTCTGATTTCATCCTCACAGTCAGCCTCTGAAGTAGAATGAGCAAGGACTCTGGTCTGAGTGACCTAGTAATTTCAGGAGAGGATGGGATTTCAAGGCAGGAGCCATATTAGTGAATTGGGAAAGAGGTGAGCATCGATGCATCTGCAGCAACAGCTTTTAGATGGTGATCAGGGTATACAGTGTGTGCAAGAGCTTGGAGGTAAGTGAAAATGTTGAGAGTAGAGGTAATGGCATCTGCTGGGGGACAAAGGGGAAATGGGACAGATGTATGTAATTGCTGCATTTGCATGATGTCACCACGCATATGCCATCATTGCACTTTCTTGCAGCCACTGTTGAATAATGTAACGGCATTTGATACATTCCTAGCTTGCTCATCACCACTGCCTGTTAAGAGTTTTTACAAATGCTTTCATGACCTTTGGAATATTGACATCATGATAAATGAATCAGCCAATCATGTGTGCTTTGACTACATAGCCTTGGCCTAGGAGTAAATACAATCGCATGACATCAGTCTAGTGGAACGGCAGCCAACCAGGTGCCCAAAGAGAGAGGGGCACGTTTATGGGATCACCTCTGCTGAGAGATTTAGCTAAATATCAGTGCAAAGAAAAGATCTGCCCTATTTTCCTGCAGTCACTCCCCCAAATGAAGCAGATTAGAGTAAGACATCGGAGACAGTATTCTGAATTGATGAAATGAACAAGGACAAAACAATTCAGAATGTTTTACTCATGGCAAAAAGCTTTTCACTTTTGCGGGTTGGTGTGGTGAGTGATAACTTGTAATTAATCGACTATGTGCTGTTACACTTTCTTCACTAAGTTTATTAAGCAGGCTCAGATGGCCGGGCATGTATGAACTAAACAGGGTAAATATTATTTCTAAGAGAATTTGTCCAAGAACAAACTAAAACAAAACAGTAAATTATTTGTCTAACTTTATGTATTACTTTTATAAGGCAGTTTTGTGAAAACATGATTATCAAAGACTTGAGACAAAATCCAAAGAGAGCAAGTATAGATGGCCAATAGAAGAAAGAAACACAAATAAAGAGACAGACATTAGCTTAACAATTAAAAAGGGAAACCTAAAGTAATAGACAAGAACGCAGAAAAATTTGAGAGTACAGATGTCATGACATTTATTAAGAGGCATGCTACAACTAGAGTTTTAGAAAAAGAGTTAGGTAGATACTCAAGTAATAATCAGCAAGTACACAAAACTTAAAAGAAATGGAATAAACGGCAGTGTACAGAAATTCAAATTAACCATGCACTACGCAGTTAGAAAATAGGTTTCTTTAATATTTCAACTTCTTTGCATTTATAACATCAAGTCATCTCAACAACACAGAATTCTTTCTCCCCTCCAATGCCACAAGCTGCTTAACAAACAAAAGCTGGTACTGTTGCTTATCAAAATATACAAGACAATTGATGTTCTTTTTTTTTTTAATAATATAAAAACCATTTTATACTTGTTCCCAAAAACCTTTTTTTTTGCCAGGTAAAAAAATGTTGTTACAAATATTTACAGCATTTTCTTGTGTCAGATGAATATTTGTACAAACTTAAAACGGGATTCGTGAACACATGAAAAATTAGGGAATGTCTGGCTCCTGTAATTGTGTGCCTTTATTTCTCTGAATACAGTATTAAATATCCATTCGCCCCTTCCCTTAGGCCATTTCATTTGGTTCACATTTTTAAAAAATCTTCTCTCTCGTCTCATTAATTAGTCCGTTCACCAACAGCAATCACATAAAAGGCCACTTTACATGGAGTCTTTCAAGAAAAATACCTCAAGAGGGAACTGGCAAGATGTCTCAGTAAAACCAGAGCAAGCAATCTTTGGTCATTGCAAATGAGGTGACAATCTGATGCAACGTTTTGTTTGGTCGGCAACCATATTTTGAGAAGGTGGGATGACCCCCCCCCCCCCAGAAACTGGAGAATGAATTGGGGGAAAAATGAAAACACAGTTACAGAGATGAGTCAAAGTATAACTGGTTAGGGGTTTTTTTTTTCACTATCATCACTAATAATGCACATTAATCCAAAACTGGGAATTTCTGCAAGAGATTATTTATAATAGAGGATTTTTGGATATAAGGATCCTCCTCACTCATTTACTATTTTTCAGGTTAAAATCTGTGAGAACCGTTAAGCCAGATGTCTTGAATTCCTGGATGGCGCAGCATGATTCATGTTACAATGGTAGAAAGCAAAAGGGTTATAAACTGATTGAAACAGTAAGCAACTAACTGCACATAAGGACATTATGTGTTCATGGGTCATTTGGTATTTTACTCTATATAAATACACATTTCCTTGAACGTAAGCATACTGACTTTAAAGACTGAAACAGATAGCAAAAAAAAAAAAAAAAGTTACAGAAATCTACTGAAGGCACATAAACTTTGGTCCCATTTTGTTTTCTTCTTTGTAAAAACCCTGAAATTAAGATTTCTGAAGCTTTCAATTTTTAAAAAATAATTCCTAATTGTTAAGATTTGCTTTAAAAATGAAGAACAGTCTTATATACTACACAAAGATTTTTGCAGACAATTAGGAGTTTGTTTGCTTCAAGAACGTATTTGTGCAAACTTCAACAGTTTTCAGCACAATTCAAATCTGACAGTTGTAATTAAAATTACCAGTCCACAAGAGTGTCAAGGCAAACAAAATGGCTTTAATACAGTTATCTACTCAGCTCTGCTCCTTTGAACAGAGCAATATATACTATGTATGACAGGATGAAGACTGGAAGGGCACAGCTCAGATTTGCTATTCCCAGAAGCACCACCATGGTCTTACTCAGATTTAAATAGGCAGCAATGGAGTTGCTTCACAAAACGCACCCTATGTGCTAAACTTTAGAGTAAGTTTCCACTGCACATCGAGCCTTTCAGTCTGGGAAGAGGTGCTGTACAGACAACTCAAGGCTACTATTGAAAATATAGGCACAAAGAGCCTACAGAGTATCCTTCAAGCACAGTAAGAGTACAAAAGGTAAGAAACAGGAAAGGCAACAAGTTAGGGCAAGGCTTCAAATGAATGTTGCTTTGATATTCAGAAACTTGTAAATATGTTGGGTAGAAAAAAATCTGTGGACTAATGCTGAAATTAAACCACTGACTACATATTAAAATTTGGGCACACATATACCAATTATTACTAAAGATAGAATGCATGGTATGAAGAGACTAAGAGGTTGCAGCTCTGCTAGCATAATGCAATCATTCTTCCTGAGCCAGTTTTGAAAGAGTTTATATTCAAAGGTAGCCACAGTCTTTGTTTCATTGTTAAGCTATTATGGCTTTACCTCTAGGAGTAAGTATCCTAAGGATTGTGGGTGATTACTTGGTTGAAAACTTGAGCCAATACTGTTTTAAACTTAGGCCCTCCACAACCCTGAGGAGGTTTGAACTTGGTTGTTTCTGAAGGCATTTTAGCTCTGATGTATTGCTGTCAGATCAGGAATATGCCACATTCCCTAATTTAGAAGGCATTTCCATCACAAATGATGTTGATCTATGAAACTGCAAATCCCCATTCACAGAAGTGCTATTTAATATATTAAAAGGGCACCTTTGCTGCTGCCTTTTATGAATGAATATGCACTATATGTTGATTAAAAATCAATTATCTTCAATGCTTCAACCTGAATACTAGAGGTAACAGAAATGCCTGACAAGATTGTTACTTCAACTGCACTTCCAAAAGAATTGCAAGGGCCACAGAGCTTTACAGCTTAACTATGGAAAATAAAGGGTAAGAGAACAAAAACTGATAATGTAAATGATCAAATAATTTGGAAAATTAATTTCCTATACTAGGGTGCTTAACAAGGCAATTTCTGCAGAAAATTATGCTACCCAATAATCATATCCTTAATTAAGCCCCTTAATATTCTATGTTAACATTAATTATCTGCTGCTAATATTCCACAGCAAAGGAATAAAAGGACAAGAAAGTGGTAATGTCTGTTTTTATCTTAATCCAAATTCAAGAGGTTGCCTTCTAAAACATTTGACCGAAAGGAGAAAATCAAGCTAACTATTGCTGTAAATGGAATTCCTGTTTTAAACGCAAAGTTTGTACTGCCATTTCTTATATTTGCAACTCATGGAAAAACAAGTTTGCCAAATAAAATCAAACTCAAAATGTTAAACACACATATACTACAACCATGATTTATACAGAATATAATATAATTATGATGAGACCTCACAAAATGAATATATCCAAAATAAAATCCAAAACATTTGCCAGCATGTAACTATAAGTGTACGTTCAAAAACTCAAGAGTGGAAGTAGGAAGTCTTATAGAACTAAGGTATTTTTTATGTTAAATTGACCATTTATTTCTCTTAACGCTACAAAATTGTTTTGTTTTTTAAGATTAGTAAAATCAATAAATTAAATGCTTGCAATGTTTATCAGCATAAAACAAGGTATTTCACATAATACACATGCGCACGCGCACACACACAACACTCTTGATATTATACATGTTAATGCTCACTCTCATTTTCTTCCTGCTTCAATTACATTCATCAACTCCAATTACATCCCCCTCTGTAGCAGCATTAAACACATGGTGACCAAGCTTAAAAGTAATTTAGCAAGTTACAATATGAGGCAAATTTATTGGTTCTCTAATCCAAGAAGCTATTTAATGGCTTATGGGGCTGTCATCCTGAATATACTTGCTCTGAGCCATGGTCCACTAAAACTGATAGAATGAAGGGGACATACTAAGGCTCATGTGCCATGCCAGAATCAGGCACTCATTTTAATCACTTTGCTAAACTAAGAAAAGACATTGCTACTCTAGGGTTGGTCTGTTTTAATAGACTGTTATTTTCAAACAGCTGCAAGTCATAGTTAGAATGGGATCAGATCTTACTGGACACTAGTGTAGCTTTACACAAAGAAACATACATGTTGACAAAACAAAACACACATATGCTAATTGTCCAAATTGTGATTATCAGCGAACTACCTTCCACACACAACTATATAAATTTAAGGCAGCCAGTGTCTCACTGCGTATCCTTTCATGCTACAGCAATGTTAGTAAGAAACTTGCATCTCAAAGGTAACTTATGGTTTTATCTTTTTAAAGGAGTTTAGAGATTGATCTAAAGCTGTGAAGTACTTTTTGCCAAGCAAAAGCTGGTATTCACAGAACAACCTGACCTACTGAACATTCCAAAGACAATGAGCACACTACATATTGTCACATTCCATTTCTTTTTCTAAACCTTTGTCTCCATTTTCAAATCAATGGAAAGGATTAACCATCCTTATTTACGAGAGGAATATTTTATAAAACAATGACATTTTTCAGTAGACATAACATCTCGAGACACCTCTAAAAACATTGTATTACAATCATAGAAATAACTTGAGTATACCTATATTTCACAAAAAAATAGTAAGATTGCATCTTCCTCTCCAAAAAGGAGTGAACATTCAGTCCTGAAGTTTTGACATTTATGAATGTAAGCCCATCTGCACTGAGCACAAGCCCATCACTGTTGGGTGAAAAGAATCCTGAGGCAAAATATTCTCAGAGTCAATAACTCAACTGTTAGACATTAGCCAGAAACTGAGAACATTCTCTAAAGCCCAACAAGGGCCTCACTCAACTGCAACCCCTAAAATATTGTGAAGAGGTCTAGAAGAATGTGCACTGAGTTATCTTCAGTCCCAACCTACCCATCCCTATACCAAAGCACCAAAATCTGATTTGACTATTACTTATTAAAAACATCTTTAAAATCACCAAATGTTTAAAAACTAAGACAAGGGGAAAAAAAAATCACAAAGCCACAATACAGTTAAAGATACTTCAGATAAAACTCTAAACTATTATATCATTATAAGCACATAATAAGGCACATAAGAAATTAAGTAAATACACAGTAATTCTGATTTAAGTATTAAGAGATTATAGTGGTACAAAAAACCCTTGAGGTTTAACTTTATATTTTTAAACAAGACCTTACCAAAAATAACCTTTCTAAAAATTTGTCAAACCATATGACAGACCTGATTTTTTTTTCCTTAGGAGTGTAAACAATTTTTTCTGAAAGAAATGTACAAAACTTGAAATCAGGACATATTTCTTCTTTCATTTTCTCCAATATCTTATTACACTTCATCTCATAGTTAAAACAGCTAAGTTATCTCTCACACCATGACTTAATGCCTAGTTAGAATTGTCAGCATGGTCACCTTAGGACAATTTACCTGTGTTGGTTACAGAATTTATTGAATTTCGTTAGTTTACTCCATGGAGAAATAAGGCACTGCCCTTTCTCCAATATTTTCAGTAGAGAATGATTAAAAAGTTAGCTAATTGGTAAAAAAAAATATTCCCACCAAAAATATTTTGAATGTAATTACTATATAAAGTAAATTGCTAAAATTATTTTTGGAACATTCCGTTGATCACATTGTTTGACAGGGAACAGAAGTGTTGTGTAACATTGTTTGGGAATTAAAACTAAAACTATGTTCCTGAAATCACCAAAAAAAAAAAAAAAGATGGGTTCTATTAAAGATGGTAGATTATTAACAGAAATTTTTGTGGAGGATTATTTGCCATTATAGCAAGAGATATGGAAAGGTAACCCCATGATTTGTTACAAAGTATAGAACTACACATGAACCACACAAGTTTCATTGTTCAAGGATGCAGCGTTGGTTTTGCCTACTACAGTCTCTGCCTGAAGTTTTTACTGGGATTATGGGCAAAGCGTTGAACTTCAAAAGGTCCTCAATGCATCAGATTCAGATTGTAGATTTAGAAAAGGAAACTCTGAGGTGATGATTTTCTCCAAGGTCATGATTATGAAGCTCAGTAAGGGCCTGGATTGCTTCTTCCACAGTGCCCAATTGGATAAGAGCCATTTTGCGGTCTTTTCTAGAAGAGAAAAAGGTAACAATTAAGTTCACATATTTACAGTGCATTCAAAAAGTATTCAGACCCCCTTCATTTTTTCAGTGTTATGTTGCAGCCTGATACCTCAATCATTCAAATTCATTTTTGTTCTCATTAACCTACACTCAGTACCCTATAATGACAAAGTGAAAAGAGAATTTTAGAAATGTCTGTAAATTTATTAAAAAGGAAAAATTGAAATAATACATTGGCATAAGTATTCAGACCCGTTAGTCAGTACTTTGGCAGCAATTACAGCCTCGAGTCTTTTTCGGTATGACGCAACAAGCTTTGCACACCT